GCTAAGGAAGCGGTCGCGGGCGACAGCAAGGCGGTCAGGGAGGCGGGTGGCAAGCAGGTAGAGGGTAGAGGTAATGGGCGGCTGGTGGGCTCTAAGCTGTGCATCAGTGCAGGCTGCACGCCAGGTCTCATCTATCGAGCGCAGGTGGGCAGCGAGGTCAGAGACAGTAGGGAAAGATACAAGGTCAGGAAAGAGCATCGGGAGGATCAGGCGACCCACCGAGGCAGCCGGAGGGGTGGAATAGCGCTGGATGACAGCATCTAAGTATGCCTGAGCAGTGGTGAGAGACCTAAAGCGAGGGCGCTCGGACGGGGGAAGGGCGTTGCTGATGGCAAGCTGGGCGACAGCATCGCGAGAAAGCCAGACAGAGCGCGCACGGGCAGTGGCAGCAGTGGACTCGCGCTCAGTGGGTGTGGAGTCAGCGGGCAGAATAGCAGGAGGGTCTGGGCAGGGGAGCGTACCGTCAAGGTGTGCTTAAAGCGGTTCACCATCCTGCCGCTGGCCAGTGAGTTGTCGACGAAGGTCGGCAAGCCACGCCTCGAACTCCAGAGGCTGGCCTTCAGCGTCGAAGCGAAGCTCTGCCGCCATCAGGAACAGTGCAGTGCGGTGCAGGGCAGTGCAGCAAGGTGGAGTGCGGTGCCGTGCGGTACAGTGCGATGCAGTGCGGTGGAGGGCGGTGTAGTGCGGTGCCAGGCAGGACAGGGTGGTGCGGGGCGGTGCAGTGCGGGGCAGTACGGTGCAGGGCCGTGCAGGGCAGGGGGGGGGGGGGGGGGGGGGGGGGGGGAACCGTACCAGTGAGGAGGACCGAGGCCGGGGCAGGGACGAGCGCAGGGGCCGGGCCGGTGCAACGGGGCCAGGCGGGCGCGACGGGGCCGGGCGGGCGCGACGGGGCCGGGCTGGTGCGACGGGGCCGGGCGGATGCGTCGGGGCCGGGCTGGTGTGACGGTGCCGGGCCGGTGCGACGGGGCCGGGCGAGCAGGACGGTGGCACAGGAGGGGCGCACCGGGGCTGGGCGGGCGCGACGGGGCCGGACGGTTGCGACGGGGCCGGGCGGCTGCAACGGGGCCGGACGGGTGCGACGGGGCCGGGCGGCTGCGACGGGGCCGGGCGGCTGCGACGGGGCCGGCGGGTGCGACGGGGCCGGACGGGTGCGACGGGGCCGGGCGGCTGCGACGGGGCCGGGCAGGGGGCGACGGGGCCGGGCGAGTGCAACGGGGTCGGGCGGGCGTGACGGGGCCGGGCTGGTGCGACGGGGCCGGGTTGGTGCGACGAGGCCGGGCTGGGGCGACGGGGCCGGGCGAGCGCGACGGGGCCTGAAGGCGTGACGCGGCCCAGGAGGGGCGCTACGAGGCCCAGGAGGGGCACGACAGGGGCCTAGGAGGGGCGCTACAGGGGCCCAGGAGGGGCGCGACGGGGCCAGGGAGGGGCGCTACGAAGCCCAGGAGAGGCGCGGCGGGGCCCTGGAGGGGCGCTACGAAGCCCAGGAGGGGCGCGACAAGGCCCAGGAGGGGCGCTATGGGGCCTAGGAGGGGCGCGACGGGGCCTGGGAGGGGCGCGACGAGACCCAGGAGGGGCGCTACAGGGCCCATGGAGGGCGCGACGGGGCCCAGGAGGGGCGCTACGGGGCCCAGGAGGGGCGCTACGAAGCCCAGGAGGGGCGCGTCGGGGCCCAGGAGGGGCGCTACGAAGCCCAGGAGGGGCGCGACGGGGCCTGGGAGGGGTGCGACGGGGCCCAGGAGGGGCGCTACAGGGCCCAGGAAGGGCGCGACGGGGCCCAGGAGGGGCGCTACGGGGCCTAGGAGGGGCGCGACGGGGCCCAGGAGGGGCGCTACGGGGCCCAGGAGGGGCGCGACGGGGCCCAGGAGGGGCGCTACGGGGCCCAGGATGGGCGCGACGGGGCCCAGGAGGGGCGCTACGGAGCCCAGGAGGGGCGCGACGAGGCCCAGGAGGGGTGCGACGGGGCCCAGAAGTAGATGGATAGATAGAGAGTACACACAGATATACCTAAGTGTTGTACTCTCTAAGAGGCGACCCTATACAGTCTATACAAACATGACAAATACACATGTTTGACAAGTACAACCCCAACAAGTATATATTATAGGTTTCTCACACTAGTCAACCATTCTCGCATTCTAACATTCCTACCGTTATTACTAACCTAGCTTTCGTGACAGAATTATCAAGAAGTGACTCTATCGGACTTCTAGAAATGGAGGGGAGTGTTGTGATAAAATCGTATTTTAGCATTCCTATAAGTGGTTCCGATAGATATTATCGAGTTACACTATAGTTAGCATCCGTAGAATGACGTCAACAAATAGCGCACGTGTGGATGGTTATGTCAGCAGGCCGTTTCACTCACGCGAACAGTCGCTCTCCTTTAAATATCGATTAGAGCGCGCAACGCAAATAGTTTTGAACAGGTACATTACCGAACAAGTAATTCTAACAGATATAAGAGTAGCTTGCATGTCTTCAATTATTAACTTGTTGAGTAAATTCTGGTCAACACTTACTAGTTCTAAGACTTCCGCCGTCTTACTAGTCTACCATTCTAACGAAGATAACAAAGCTGTAACACTGATTGTGGTATAACAACTTGTTAATACTGGCTATTACTGGAAGTAATTCCATTATTACTTTCTACTTCAAGTACTTGTGGTTGCAGATTCTATACTTGGTCTCCTGCACCACCTTTCAATTTATTTCACGACACACCCCCTTTGCGCTTCATTACACCTACACACATATTGACATGTGTGAGCGAAAGTTTCTGGAAACCAGGCCTGAAAGTCGAGACCACGGTAACGAGGAAAGATGACAGTAACGAAAGCGTCGTTTCTCATTTAGTGTTCTTGATTTGACAGAACTGACCAATCACGTTGAACACTGTCCCCAGGGTATGCTTCGTAGCCAGTCGCGGTTCGACACGGCGTGTGTATTGGCGTGAGAGTGATGTGAAGTGAATAAAAACACCTGTGGGACAACACTCCAGGCAAACAAGTGTCTCTGGGAAAATTGCTTCAGCAGACTGTCCACGAAACTTTTCATACTTTCGTGGACAAGCTCTACTTTCATGGACACCACATCGAGGTTTCGCTTCTCCTGTGGACTCCAACACTTTCGTGGACTCCATACTTCCTTCCATGGCCCCACGTGAATTTGAAACAAAGAAAACATACAGCACTGTAGAGATGCTGATAGGAACAAAAAAACAAAATTATGGCGTAATCGAGCCCCTCGCAAATAGTCGCAAGCCACCAAGTTCACTACAGTAGGTGTTTTGCTTGTTTAAAGAAACTCTTAAGCGATCCTCAAAATTCAGTTGAATGACTGTATTGAAGCGGTTTTAATTGAACGACACGTGTAACAGACCGAGTAGGCAAAAACTTGCTACAAAAGATTCACGTTGTGGAATAAAAATATATTATATGGTTACAAGGTTAATAGATCTCAGGAAAAATAAATGGAAGGTTTCAGGTCTTCATGTTATTATCATAAAAATTGTCCATAGTAAAACAATAATAGATGAAAAAATGATATAAATATTTTAGATATACAATTTTGGGAATAGTGTTTTCTATGTTTGAATGATAAACATACTAACGTAAATAAAAACAAGTGATTTTGAAACATATATTTCTAATGTGCTATTTATTTGTTCACATAATTATGAATAATGAAATAATGTGTTATGACGGAAAAACTAGCTGCTGATTGATGCTGGCTTGTTAAGCACGTGCATATTATGTTTTTGTTGAGTAGCTCTGATTTGAGTGATAAGTGTTTTTACCACGCGGACCCTAATACATTATTGTTTGTTAAACTTTACTGCATATTTGAGTGCAGCTGCAAACTCTTCCCATAAAAGCTCCGAGATTCTGTTTCAGAACTGGTTTCCGATACTGTAGCTCACGATTACTTGCGACGGACAGATAGTCTGGAGTTTTTCGATTTTTGTGCCCGTAATCACTTGTACATTGTTGTATACTCCTTTTTAACTGCGAATATGCGTGTGTCCATGGAAGTATGCCGGGAGTTCACGAAAGTATTGACGGAGTCCACGGGAGAAGCAAAACTTCGATGTGGTGTCCATGAAAGTAGGGCTTGTCCACGAAACTGTAAAAAGTTTCGTGACAGTCCGCGGCAGCAATTCCCCCAGTGTCTGTTCCAGAGACAAATTACATTTTTTCAAGTTTTCCGAACCGAACCAACAAGTCGCGTCGCCCCCTCTTGGCATGCGCGGCTTGGTCCATGCCGTGATAGCCAATCACGTGGTTCCCACAACCAGTGTACTTAGGTCTGGTTTGGCTTGAAAATCAGTTCACTCGTCGGTCGAACTGTCTCAATCCCTCCCAATCCCTCGCCGCCTTTGTTATATGGGAGCAGTCCTCACCAGGGATTATGCTGACAGGGTGAATGCCCGTTCTTGACTGATTTTCAGGGTTTTTCAGAGGCAGCCCTTAAAAGAAAGAGTTGAAATTGAACTCTCCCGTTGGTTTTCAGGGGACTTTCGGGTGCCAGTCTTTTCGTCCGAGAGAAGTTTGAGGCACCCGTAACCACACCCCCCCCGACCCCCGCGAGAGAGAACTTCCTCCTCACCTTACGCGCGCTGCCCTGCCAATCTAGTCAGCTCGCGCACCGCTTAACCTTTTTTGAGACATTGCATGCATTGAGAACTTGAATTTTACGGACACTTCATATATGCGATTTGTAACGTAACGTTGCCAGAGAGATTAAATAGCGTTTTTAAAGGCAGCTCGGATTTGGCCGAGCGGATCTGGTGCGAGCCCTTTTCGTAAGGGGACGATTTGGCCGTGCCGTTGTTTTTCAGGGTAAGCTTCGAGAGGCGCCCTGAACGTCGGAGCGGCGCAGGAACCTAGCAGGAGCCCTGGTCCTCACCTCACGGAGGACCCCTCTCGTCAATTTCGCTACGAATTCGTACGTGAAACAAAACCCAGGTACACTCGCTCGCACAATGTGTGTACTTCGAAACCAGCATCACGACCTTGGTTCAGCTGCCGCCGCTGCCCTCTAGTTTTCCGTCTCTCTCGTCAACCACTGCTAGCATAATCAGCGCCTTTTCTGTCTGCTACTACTAGCTCTCATGAGGCGCACATCTCTCTTCTGCGTGCTGCTCTGTAAGCCCACAACAGTCGTGATGATCGATTGATGATTCAGAATCAATAATCGGACATCGGATTGAGGCATCCGAGTCGGTTGCTGCTCAGCGTGGCACCAGTGGATCCGCCGCTGAGTGATTCCAGGCATCTTCTTGCCAAAAATATTCAGTGGCACTGCTGCAAATTATGGTTGCTAGAAACCGGCATGTCAGGATGCCCCTCATGGCGTCTCGAGTCGCGCTGCCTGCCTGCTTGTCTTCCTGCAGGTGGGACGCTCTTCACTGTATACGGCGGCGCGTCGGCCACATCATCATTTCTCGCGCCATTGCTGCCTCTTGACGGCGGCGCCGCGGCTTCTGCCGCTTCTAGCACCGCTCAGGCCAGGCCTCTGCTGAGGAAGGGAAAGACAATCCGTGAGTGTCAATCATTATAATAAGAACGAGCATCAATACTACTTCAAGTAGTGGGCTGTGATCTTCCGCATGATCCTTTTGATAATTGTCAAAAATACCCTGCAAACTCAGTGGACTGTGAACTTCCGCATGATCCACACATCAGCCTGATGTAGCAGTCATCAGTGAGGTGACTACACATTAGTGAATGTTCAAGTTTCCTTTGTTGAACTCCATTCTAAATTGACTTCCCCGTTTGACGGGGCGAAAAACAGAGTCTGCCCGATTCCTTCCGTTCCCTTCTCCAGTGAAATACGTGGCCAGGTTTTTTCCTACCAAGCGCAACGGAAAAGTGATCGGCGACAAAGGTGCATCGGGGAGATTCGTCGCCAAAGCGATAAGGTGCAGCGGCTCTCTGTCCCGTCGCACCAGGCTCGTGGCGACACGATCATCCCGTGATGTGGCCTATGGCTCTGCAGAAATTGTCCTTGACAGAATCCCATGAAAGCACCCGGCTTGTGTTCTTCGTCATTGACATGACGGGATCCCGCGAAGCTGGTGCATAGGTTCTGGGACCCCCAATTCTGGGTCGGATAGCTACCTATTCATAGCTTGGTCCAAACAACTGACACGGTCCGGCCAGCCACTCCTACGATGGAGCGACGTGCCATTTCCCATCACTTGTGAATGAAGTCTTTGAGCTCGAGGGGAGAGCATATGCAGTTCTGCGGCATGGACTCTCTTACTACCCTCCCCAATCCCCACTCCCCCATCCCCCCTCCCCCCTCCCCAATCACCAATCTCCAATCCCGCCTTGGATTATCTCTCCCAATCCCAATATTCAATGGGCAGGTACTCGGAAGTGGTGTACGCCATCATTGCAAAGATCTTAGTCTTGAACATCAAATCTGGGGGAGAAACGCCGATGTTCGGAGGCTCGTCTTCCTGCCTGACTGATACCTCTGGACCTGAAGACCTTAATTTCTTGAACATCACAAGTGACAGGGCTGGCCGTCGCAAGCGGTACAGCTTCAGATACCTCTACAAGGGAGCCGGCGGCGTGGACGCTGAGGTTCGCATGCTGGTGCGGGCAATTTTTGGGAGCAAGAAATACGTGGCTGTGATACATTCAAGTAATATGTATGCACTCTGTGGGAAGGTTAAAAGAGTGGTTTAAGTGGTTCAGCCTGAGGGTGCAACTGCATTGGGGATTCATGCAGGGTTGCGGGCATTGGAAGCGTGGAACATGCATATGGATGTGCACCTCTGAAGCTACCTGATCAATGTATCATTCTTCAGGAATGAGGATTGTTGTCTGCTCTTGCATTAACTTTAGCGAAATGGCAAATAAAGCATCATGGCATGTGTTGTGTTATCTGCTGCAGATGCGCTGTGCATGTGCCAGGCACAGCACAGACGAATCCTATAGTGATGAGCAGATAGCAGACCAAAGGGGGAGAAGGGGGGGGGGGGGAGAAATATGGGCAAATGGCAGCGGAGGAAGGGGTATCAAAGTGAACAAATGGATAGTACCATGGCATACAAGGGAATATAACCTAGTGGGTTGTACTCTCTAATGCACAAACCCTGTGTAGTCTATAACAACATACAAGTATATGTTGTTGAAATCTGAACTAGGAAGAAAAGAGGAGGCCGCCATGAAATGGCGGCCAAGGGTTTAGCTAGGAGAGTAGGCGAGAGTGGCAAGAGAAAAGGGAGATAGATTAGGAAGAGAGAGAGAGTACAAGGAGGGGTTTGTACCCTCTACAGTAAGGTTCGGTAACCTACCAAGCCTAACAATTATATAAAATATAATTTGAACACACCCCCTAGGCTTGGTAGTGGCCAGCCCACACAACCCACACACACACCCCCTAACCCCGGACACCCTCATTCTCGTGAGCAGCCGGTTATCGACCCCTCGTGCTAGGCTATGACACCCCCGGTCGAGAGGCAGCTGGCCGCATCTGGGCGGCCTCAATGACGACAGCGGCGGAGCTCGTGCTCAAGGCGGCTGTGTCGATGAGGACAGGCGGCGACTGCGGCGGCTGAGGGCTCTCGGCGGTGTGGCACGGGCTGGCGACGACTGAGCCGAAGACAGCAGCTACGGCTGGAGCAGGAGGAGATGCAGGGGAGGGAGAGGTGGTGGGGCTGCTGTGGTGGGGCTGCAGGACTTCAGCGCGGCGCCATAGGCGCGGCGCTTACTGGCGGGAGGAGGAGGCGGAACGGGGCCCAGGAGGGGCGTGACTGGGCTAGGAGGCACGGCAGGGCCCAGGAGGGGCGCGTCGGGGAGGTAGAACGGCGGAGCCGCCACGTCAGGGCGGCAAGCCCAGTACGGCTGCTCGACGTGGCAGCCATGCGACATGGCCGCCACGGGGGCACGGCAGGAGCGACGAACGCACGAGAACGCAGCGGAAAGCACGGAGGGGAGCAGGCCCAGGAAGGGCATCCCGCTCTGATACCATGTTGAAATCTGAACTAGGAAGAAAAGAGGAGGCCGCCATAAAATGGCGGCCAAGGGTTTAGCTAGGAGAGTAGGCGAGAGTGGCGAGAGAAAAGGGAGATAGATTAGGAAGAGAGAGAGTACAAGGAGGGGTTTGTACCCTCTACAGTAAGGTTCGGTAACCTACCAAGCCTAACAATTATATAAAATATAATTTGAACATATGTTTGACACACCCCCTAGACTGGATAGGGGCAGTGCCTGGTGAGAGACAAGCAGCTCAGGGTGGCACTACTAGTCCAGCCTCTGAGACAAGGGTCTAAAGACCAGTCAAACGAGTACATTGTGAAAGCTTGCTTAGGTCCTCTTGTAAAGGCAGTGTGCTTCATTTCATCTGGGAAACATACACGGTGCTCGTCTATTGGGCTGAGAAAGGCCCTTAGGATCTTTCAAGAGACTAAGTCTTGGTTGTAGAGTGAGAATTGAGTAGTGCAGCGGAAGTTTGAGGCAGTTGAACCCTTGTACTAGTATATGAGAACAAGTGATTGATTAAAGAAACAAGCATACTGCAATATATAGAAAATAAGAAAGCAGTTGTAGAATACAGTTGCAGGAACGGTTATCGAGTCGCACAGCGACTCGATTGTCGCTTCGGTTACCATCCGCGCTGTTGTAACGGTCAGTCGCAACCTCCAGTTGTGACCCTTCGAGTCCCTTCGCGTTCTTTGTTCGCCCCCTCGTGTAACCTCCGTTGACTCGCGTACCCGTTGCGGTCTTCCTCGAGTGTAGTGTTACACTTCAGAAACGCTTAAGTCCTTTGAGATATTTCCAACACTCCCCTTCGTTTCTGGAGTGCTGACGTGTTCAGATCCGGTGACGTTTGTCTGCCCGGTCAGCAGCGTACAGTAATCGAACTTCGCCTTCGCCAGTTTCTTCGTCAGGTAGTCTGCGGCCATTTCTGTTGTAGGGCAGTAACTGAGTTGAAGTCTCCCCTTCGCGATTTCATTTTTGACGAAAAAGTACCGCAGGGCAATGTGTTTGGTTCGGTTGGCGAAGCCGTCCTTGTTCGCGATTTTGATCGCAGATTGGTTGTCGCAGAGGAGTGAGAAGGCGGGCAGGGTCGCGATCTTCGCTTCCTCGAGCAACTCTCGTAGGTAGAGTCCTTCCTTGGTCGCAGTGCAGAGGGCGATATATTCTGCTTCAGCCGAAGATAGTGCGATTAGTTCCTGCTTGCTCGACTGCCAGGAGATAGTCCCGATAGGTTCTAGTCGGTAGATGTAGCCCGTTCTCGATCGTCGATCGTCGATTTTCCCTGTCTCCCGCGTGGTCGGCGTCGACGTATCCGAGTAGTCGTACGGACGGTGTTGTTACTTTGCTGTAGGTAAGCCCGGTCGTCGGCGTGGAGACGAAGTAGAGTAGTGCCCGGTTGAGCTCCTCGAGATCTTCTAATTCCGGCTGCTTCAGATGCGTCGCCAGTTGGCTCGCGCTATAAGAGAGATCGGGTCGGCAGGTTACTGCTGCGAATAGTAGGCAGCCGAGCTTCTGTTGATACTCCTGGATTTGCTTCGCGGAGAGTTTTGCGGAGGTGCTGTTGTTGTTCCCGTAGCGGTAGGGAGTTGGGACCGTAGTCGGCGTTAGACCGAATTTTTTCGCGACGGTGCCTGCGTACTTTCCAGCGTGTAGGTAGAACGCCGAGTTGTCTTCGACTACATTCAGTCCCAGGTACTGGGTCACTGCGTCGGACACCGTGAGTGTCAAGTCTTCTTTCAGCTCCCCTTCGAACCAGGTGGCGATGTCGGTAGTGGAGCCGATGTAGAGCAGGTCGTCGACGTAGACGATGAGAAGGATAAAGGCTTCTTTCTTCTGTAGTCGATACATGCCTTGGTCGTGCGGCAGCTGTAGGAAGCCGATTTTTGCGAGGCGATTGTGAAGATGCTGCTGCCAGAGTCGGGGGGCTTGCTTGATCCCGTAAAGGGATTTTATCAGCTGGCATACTTTTCTAGGGTCGTCGATGAATCCGTGGGGCTGCTCGACGAAGATTTCGGCGTCCACAGGTGCGTACAGAAAGGCGTTTGCGACGTCGATTTGGCGCAGTGGTAGTTTCTTCGTGGCCGCGACGGCGAGTAGGATGCGCAGGGAGGTGTGACGGGAGACTGGGGCAAAGGTTTCTGTGTAGTTGGTTCCGTATCGTTGATCGAAGCCTCGTACGACCCATCGAGCTTTGAATCGTTCGATGGTGCCGTCCGCGTTGGTCTTGATGCGGTACACCCATTTTCCCGAGAGGACGTTCTTCCCGTTGATGTTTGTTGCAGGTACCGGCTTCCATGTATCTCGGTCTTGGAGAGCCTTTAGTTCCCTTTCCATCGCCTCCTTCCATTTTGCCTTATGCTCCCCCCCCAGAGCCTGCGACAGAGTCGAAGGCTCGCGCGGAGATGGCGGCGGCGGATGCTGGACGGAGACCCAGAGGCCGAGGATCTGCAGTCCCGTGGGTGTGTGTCGAGGGGAATTTTCATACCCGGAATAAGCTGCTTCGTCACCATCTTCTGGATCAGGTAAGAAGTTTGGGCCGATGCGTTCTGAAACATTCGTGTCGATGGGATGGGGTGTAACGCAACCTTGGTCAGCGAAGTGGTAAAAGGTGTCGAGGTTGTTGCTATCGAGGGGATTGTCTTCGTCGAGTGGAACAGGTACGGAGCAGAAAGGGAGTGGTCCGGCAGCTTCCGAGGCTCCAGGTACGTCTTCTTCTGCTGCGTCAGCCTCGGCAGCACGGTCGGCGAAGGAACGAAGGCCCGCGAAGCCATCGGTGGGGTCATGTGTGTTGGCAATGTTGTCCAGGTAATGCTGCAGCGTCAGTCGCTCGTAGAAGATAACATTACGTGATGCCACCGTATTCTTGTCGTGTATGTCGAGGATTTTCCATGCGTGAAAATGTTTTGCGATGCCGAGGTGTAGTCCCCACCGAGCTCGTTGAGTGAAGCGTCCCGCTCGGGCTGTGTGGGGTCTGTACTGTACCATGCAGCCGAAAACTCGAAGTAATTTTGTGCTGCCCCTTTTTCGTGTCCACAGCAGGTGCGGTGATGCGTTGTTAGGGAGTGATGACGAGGACAACAGGTTGTGCAGGTGGACTGCATGGGTCATCGCGTCTGGCCACAGTGCGTTGGGCAGTCTCATCCCCAGGAGCAGCTTCCGCATCGTCGTCTGCAAGGTCCGGTTCATTCTTTCTGCGACCCCCTGTTGCTAGGGTAGAGACACCAGGCGTCTGATTCCTCTTTCCGCTAGATAGGTCCTGAAGCGTTGTGACTGGTATTCCAGTGCACCATCTGACTGGAAGCTCTTGAGCTTGGTTCTTGATTCTCGTTCGGCGATGGGGAGCCATGTCGTGAAGGCGTCGAAGGCTTGATCGCGCGTCTTGAGGTTGTAGTGCCAAACATATCTTGTTGCTGCATCGATGAAAGTGATGACGTAGTTGAAGTCGGCCTCCGTGTCGTCTCGAGGCATGTTTAAGATGTCGCTGTAAACTTTTTCCATCGGTGCATATGCAGGCGCACTTGGATTGTGATGTGATGGGAAGGGTTGATGGGGAAGATCTGCTTCGGGGCACGTAAAGCACCGTGCGCGAGGTCTTCGAAGTTCTTGGCCGCTTGTTGTAAGAAGAGCGTTTCATTCTAATACTTCGGCTTGGATTGTTTGTAGTATCGTGCTGTTTGCAGGATGCCCAAGTCGTTGGTGCCAGATGTCGTCGGAAGCTCGATGGCCGGGCGAGCGTTGGTACATGTCGGTGTTGGAGAAGAACGCGACGACCGTGGCGGGACTTCGGCAGACTTCTCGTGTGATGGGCATAAGTTGATCTGCTTCAGTTGGCGGTCCGCGGATCGCTG